CCCAACGAGATGGGTTTTTTTGATGACCCATTTGAACTCTGGGATTTCGCAAACTACTGAAATTACCCACGTGAAGTTACATCGAGCAATTTGCTTATTTAATGAGAAGTTTGTGAACTATTAATGCAAAAATATGGCAATCTATCTTCTTCTATATAAATAAAAGTGAGTAATGCATGAACCCTTCACCGGCTTCACCCGATTGTCTTGAAACTTTGGGGAACGGTTGACAGTATAGTCGCGAAGGTTTCTGATTTAGTAAAATTGCGCGCGAGAATTTGCAGAATATTAGTTAGGTAAGTACATAAAATATTCTATCAGAGTGCAAAAAATGCACAATGTTGATATAAGAAAAATGCTCGGAAAAATGTATGATTAAATAATGAATAAATGTCTACATATTTCTATGAGCACTCGCATACATGATACAGGGTCCTGCAAAAGTACTCATACCTGGTAAAAAATATTTAAAAAAACTTTTGTGCAAATGTCAACTGTTGTACATCTACAGGAATTATTTTTGGATGTGCATGATGTTCCATTTTTTTACGGTGTCAATAAATAACTGATTTTATTAATAGAAAATCCTGTATATTTTTACTTGTTTCGATGTCATTTGTTAACCTCTACATGGAAACCTATTCACTTTTTCGTTTTTTGTCGACTTTTCCATCTTATTGGTTTTTTTCCCGCATTAGCAACTTTAATAAATCGTAGCTACCTTGATTTTGAGGTTGAGAAATTTTTGATCAATAATGTTAATTATTAATGTTTTAGCACTGGAAATCGTTAAACGAATGAAACATAGGGCCCTCCTTTAGTTATTTCCCGAGAAGCTTTTTCTGACAGTAAAACGTGCATACTTTAGCATGACACAACCAATTTATCTATAACGTTAATGTGCTAGTCTTTTTCGAGATCGGGGGTGAAGGGGAGTGGAGGGGGCAGAGCCGTCCTTACCAAATGCGAGGCCTGGAGCGAAATATTTTTGCGGGGCCTTTTTTAATAATGATTTCCGAGGGGAAGGGGGAGGGGGTTACGGAATACCCCCGGGGGAGTGGGTCCTACTCCGGAAATGTTTGCAAAATTATACATGCAAAGTCGTAATTTTAAGTACTTTGAATGACTGTCACGCGGCGAAAGGGAGAGGAGGAGATCATGCAAGAATGACTCACTCACCGGCGAGCGCCAGGGTTTGTTCGCGACTGATGACTATCAGGGCGTCGATTCCCGAAGATGTGCTTTGTTCACATCGACTGACCTTGATGTGAACGTGAATGTCACTGCATTCTCGAACCTACCACATCGAGCGAAAAGTTGATCGAACGCAACGACTGGTCTAGACCACTCGTTGCGTGAAAGTCATGCGCAGTTCCAGCTACAGGACGGATCTTGCAGCTGTTTTGCTATAGAGGTTATTCAGTGCCCTAACCTATAAATTCACATATTTTCTGTGAAATAAAACATGGAATTGTTCGAGGATTTTCTGGTTATTAATAACAGTATCCTTAATGCAAAAACGAAACAAAATACAAAACTGACAAATGACAGTTCAATTCTTGTCTGTGATTGGTTAGCGCATACAGTTTGTTCGCGATTCGGGAATGCAGCTAAACTTGAACTTATCCCTATCGTATACGATGATGACGTCATGGCAGCCGGTCACATCACATGCACATCACGGAGCATATCGACTAACTTCGGGAATCGATACCCAGATATGAATGAGAATTTCGTTCGTAGGTATTGCGCGGGTAATCAGACAGAATTTTATAATATACTATATTATACAGGGTGCCCATTATGTATGGAATGTAGTATATATCTCGGGAAATATCGAATATATATGAAATTATTCCCATAAATGCCAGCATTCCGTTTTTATTTCAGAAAACAAATGAGTAAGTAACGAAAAACAATTGAATTTTTTAAATGGCTAGGCACCTTTTCATCAGGACCATTTGATAGATTTTTTTCCCTTTTCGATGATATAACATGTTAGTACTCTTATTCAAGAAAATTTTTCAAAAAATGTATCATAATTAGATAAATAACATTAATCCAGATATCCTACATAAAAATAAAACAAATGAACGTGTACGTTTCTTATTAAACGTTGAAGACAAAACGAAATTAGCAGTAAAATGGTTTTCATCGCAATGAATGTTCAACATTACCTGCAAGGCAGTGGCATAACCTATCCCAAACAAGTTGTAAATCAACATATGCATGATTAAAGCGCATTTTTGGTAATACAGATCAGTATTTTATTAGCGAAGTAAAATTATCGATTTCACGAGTACTTTTGGCTGCGTTAAATAATTAATTTTATTTAATTTCAATTGAGGGTACGTCTTTATTTTGTAAAAGTAAATAATTAAGTTTTTATACTGGTAGCGCTATCTAACGGTAAAATTATAGCACCTCCAAAAACCATATCAAAATTATTTTCTTAATTATCGATCACTAGTAATCTAACTCAAAATAGACTAGAGCCTGCACATCTTACATCTACACTATAGCAGAAAGCTTTTAGTGAAAATTTGAAGTCTCTAGCTATTGCAGTTGCTAAGATCTCAGCCGGACAGCCAGCCAGCCAGCCATAACGAATATAATAGCGTATTTTTTCAAAAATGCACTAAAAACTTGAAATAAAAATTAATTTGTTCTACACGGGTGCTAACGTGTTATGTCTTTGAAAAGAGAAAAAAAATTTCTATCAAATGAGCCTAATGAAAATGTGCGTTGCTATTTAAAAAAATTCAATTATTTTTGTTATTCATTTGTTTTCTGGAATAAAAGCAATGAAATGTTGCCTTATTATGGGAAATAAAATGTTAAACAACTTTCATATAAAAAATTGTTGTATACATTCGATCTTTGCCGAAATATATACTATATTCCATACATAATGGGCACCCGGTATATTTATATATTAAAATATTATATTATTTTCATTGAATCAAAACATATTTATTTTTTAGCGCGAGGCCTGGAGCGGCCGCTCCACTCGCCCCACCCTAAGGACGGCTCTGGGAGGGGGAAGGGTACCTTCTAGCTCCTTATCAAAAGAGGAGAGAGCGAAACTGGTTCTATCCTTCATGGTACTCTAATGAAAGGTCTTGACGAAAGGAATACCAACCATAACCTTCCCATCTAGACCCAGACAAGTCTCTGTCCTCTATCGTGATCGGTTACAATTCCTTATATCTCAAGACTATCGGGTAAGGGTACTCACAAACGGTGATTGGCACTTCCGGAAGAAATATATACATAGATGATGTCATAACTTTCAGAGCGAAACGAAACGAAAACGGTTTGTCGGAGAAGAGTCCTCGCAAAGGCAAAATGAATAATCGGAACGAGACATTTGTTGGTGAAGTCGAAGTGAATATCTTGAAAACGAAATGTTGGAAGAGGGTACCCATAGGGGCACGTGGACCGTGTAGATGAGACACACCTACACTGGTGATTTCAAAACTTTCAGTAGTACCTAGATAGTTTAAGGCAAATTGGTCCTTGGTTTTATACTCGGATACAGTGATATTTATTAAGAAGTAGACATAGGGATTTACGTGTATTGTTTATTCCTATGTCTACTTTTAAATGACAAAATCTCTTCTGATGGGCGCCTCATTTTATGCATCCAAAATAACTCCTATGTCTACTTCTTAATAAATACCACTGTAAATTGTAGAAACCTATCCAGACATCTGTCACGACCTGCTTGGTACGAGTTTCATTTTAAACTCGAGCGGAAATTCGAATAGGTAAGTTCCTGAAGGACACTCCCCCTCCCCGCCCCCCATCGTCGCGCAATTTGAATATGAAGTCATTTTGGTGTGGTTGTACCTAAGGCGTGGATGTTTTGTAACAAATTGAGGCGCAATGTATTTGTTTAAAAATCAAAATGTGATGTTGTATGCACGTTATTCGTCTTCCAGGTCTAGATCTGCGGTATTGAATTATTTTAACTCAATTGTCCTGAAATCCTATAATAGATAGCTCCTCCTGAAGGTTTAGTTTGTTACAGATGCGGCCGGTGAAGTGACAAGCGCCACAAAACGTAGTCCGTTCTGCCTCTATCATGGAAACAAAAATTTCCTGACAGAAAGCAGGCAGGAAAATGAAGGTTTCAGGACGATTTTGGGTAAACAGATATTATCATCCTGTAAAGAAAGCCAGAAAATTCCGATTATTTCCGAAGATATGCCAGAAAAACCGAAATTTGCCGATTTTGTTTTTATTTTTTTCTGTTAGTTGAGCAGACAGAAAAATAAAAAACACTTTTTCATTGCCACTTTTTGAGTTCTCCAAGACGCCTTTGAGAAATTTTCAATACAACGTTTCGTTTCGGAGAAATCATCATCAGCTTTATTTTTTTATATGAGCCGAAAACAACATTTTTTATTACGAATACAACGATGTGTACGACACAAAAAAAAACAAACTTTGGAAATTGTTAGTTTCAACATATTGGTGCACCCGCACACAACTTTCTAATCGAACAAATTTCCTGGAAAATGAAAAATATGTTCAATAGGTGTTCTGGCACGATTGAGGCGTTGTACGTGGTTGCACCGTCCTGTTGAAACAATCAGTTTTTTTTATGTATGTGGCATACATCATTGCATTCGTAATAAAAAATGGCACTCAATACAATATGTAGGTTTTTTATGGCCCATATAAAAAATAAAGTTGATGATTTCTCCAAAACAAAACGCAGTATTGAAAATCTCCCAACGCTATCTTGTAGAGCTCAAATAGTGGCAAGGAGAAAGTATTTTAGCATTGGAAATGCTTGTGTTTTGTGTATGATTAAGTTACCAGTTTCGTCAAGCGGAAAAGAAGACAGTGGTGTCGCGTCAAGTGTTGATTGTATCGTACTCGGCTGCAATCGGTAGATTAAAGAAAAGTCGCGTATACTCTCGATACGATATAGTACGCAATTGTTTTGCTAATTGAATGATTCGACTATCCTGTACAATGAAAAAGCACCAACACAAAAAAAAATATAATAATTTTTTTTTAACACAACAAACATTAAGCATTTAAAATTGTCATAATCTTGGCTAGATTCTCGTCTGCCTCGCCCGTTCGATTCGTTAACTTGTGAAACAGCTCCACGTTCATCTTAATTCTTTTGACTACAGTCTCTAATTCTCTGCCAGCCTCTGACTCGGAAGGAGCGGTTGAAGCATTACAGCTGTGGACATATTGGTACTTGTTTTGCATTTTGAAATACTCCCTTGTATTTAAGGGTCCCAATTCTATTTGGTTATTAATAAAGTTTGAAATTCTTTTTTCTACGGCGCCACCTTTAATCGCCCCGTGCAGCATGGCATTGCGTTGACAATTATCGCTGAACTGTAGAAAAACCTCCAACGCGTTTTGATTAATAATCGGATTTTTGTGCGTGAGCAATTTGTGGAATGCTTTGGAAACCGTGGTCAAAACTTGCTTTCGATCGAGTGACGAATTTAACGATCCCTTCGTTAGGGTGCTTAGCAGTGATGTGGTTGAAATTTGAACGTTTACATTTGCGGTTAAAAGATCATTTACGGCATTTAGTATCTGCAACAGATGTGTACAACATGAACAAATCAGTATTACCTACCGCAAGCAATTTGTCAATGCTAAAGTGGGGGAGGAAGTTGCTGGTTGCCGAAATCAACTTTTGAAGGAAGTATTTAAATAACTGCACTTCATTCAGCTGATTATTGACTACCCACTTCCACAAGTTAAAGAGAGCCAATATCAGGTGTGAAGTGTCAATTTCCGAATGCTCCCGAATGTACGAAACAGTATCAAGCCCAGTACACTACAAAATCCTGTTCAACATACCCCAATTTGTAAAGAAGCTTACCAGAATTTGAAATTCTTCCGAATTACAGTTACCAGCGATCAAACTGTTGGTCTTATGCACGACGTTGATTATTTCCGCAGCGATACCCACAAGTTCCGTTTTCGGGAGATGCTCAAACCTGAACACCTTCCACACGTGCAGGTTACTATGGAGGGGATATTTATCAAGTAGCATCGCTCTATAGTTCGGTGATAAATTGTCGAATGCTCTTTGTAGGAAATTTTTTAGAAAAATCAGTTGAGGCTGATTCAAGTGTTCGTTTGCTAAAAGACACTTTGTCTGGTCGATAACATTACAGATCGTTTCGTAACTCAATTGAAGATTTTCTTTCCTTAAAAATAAATGTGGTTTATAAAGCGGTGGATATTACACCAATTATAAGATGGCACAGTAAAAAGCTGGTACATGCTTCGGTGTCCCCCCCCCCCCCCTTTTGTGGTGCATTATAAATAAAACCACTTCAAATATAGACACTTCTGACGTCCCGTTCACTAGCAATTCGCATTTTGGTGGATTTCGCTAAAAACCCTCCACAAAATTAATAGTATTCAATTTTTGGAGTATTTCTCATAGCTCGAGACACAAGAAAGTCGACTACCCCCCCCCCCCCCAAGACGCACGTCTTGCAAAAAATCACCACTTTGGTAAACTCACGCTCGGCGATGGCGCCCAGATGTCACCGACCCCACCCCCAGGTAGGTACATGTACAGGGTGGCCAAATAAGAATGCGAGCTGTCCATCGTAGGGGCTTGCGGTAAAAAAAAAATATTTCTAAAACGGCCACGAGCAAAATCTGGAAAATATTTTTAAGTTTCTGAAATGGCCGCTAGGAGGCGTAACTGCAATCTGGAATTTAAAAAAGTGATGTTTCTGTGAATTCCGCTATGTTAACCTAACAAAAAAATGTCCGGTCTTTGAAGTTGACGATAATCTGAACAATTTTTCCTGTATCTCTAAAAATGAAGTGGTGGGGGGTATTCAAAGGTTTCCGTAAAGAACACCCTGTATCTTCGAAATGGCTGAGCCGATTTAAACAAACTCGGGTTAGTTCAAAAGAGCTATTCTTCAGCTACAAATATTATACTATTTGAAGTTTTGTTAGTTTGTTTGTCGTAGTCCATTTTAAAAGTTTGCTTTGCTTGAAATTTTGAAAATTGACGGAGTGATTTCTTGTAACACAAAAAAAGTTTACCTTTAGTCGTTCGGCGTATGTTAGTACATTTCATGATTGGTACCACTGCAAAATCACGGCCTTCTAAGCTTTATGATAACTGCGATATTCAATTTTTACTGGACATCTACATTTTGAAAAAATTGCGGCTAAACGACTCATTTTAGATATCATGTGTAATACATAAAGTCACACTAAAATTGACTAAGGAATCCAAATATGTAATAATATACAGAGGGATCCATAAAAAAAATGCAACTTTGATATAAATCACCCTGTATAACAATTGCAATTTCGTTGAAAATATTTTTAGGTTGTAGCCTGAAGGGTCCTTCAACATTCCCCCACAATGAATTATAAGTATGCGCGTTAATAAACTCACAATCTTCCACCCACACACTAATGGCCCACCCTGTATAGGTCTGAACGGATTTGGATAGAGATCCAGTGAGGGAGAAAGGGAATCTTTTTATCAAATATCTCTAAAAAACAGTTCCAAAGTAAAATTTCAGTTTTTTGCTCAAATGTTGCTATATTATATGAACAAAGCACGACTTGCACGGGTAATTTCTGGACCAGCTTTTTATTGTTGGCTAATACCATTGAATAAAAACACTATAAGAAGCCTAACGCTTATGGAAGAAAGCGCGACATATCCCCTTGTACCCGCATTGGTTTGGACCCCGAACTCTCTTTAAGGTAAATAGGGGGAAAGCAAATTTTCATTCTTCTCAGTTCAAGAATCGACACTATCGACAGTGTTCCCATTATATTCTCAGTTCAATCTCTGTCGCGCTTTATTTCCACGGGGTTATGCTTCTTATAGTGTTTTTATTCAATGCTAATACCTACCTCAAAACAATTACCTACCTTAAGACCATGTTCCATATGTCAACAGCTAATAAAGAGCACCAGGGACACTCCACAAAAATAGCCTGAAAAAGGATTTGCTCCACTCGATTGAACTCTTCCTCATTTAACACACAAATAATATCAGCCAAATTCACTACAGAATCATCATACAAACTGTTCTTGTTATCAGCCGTAGCAATAATAACATCCCAAAATTCGGAATGCCCTACAATACGGAGAACCATTACATTATACTTCGCTCATTTAAACTGCACCTCTTTCGAGCATAGCGAAGAACGCACCAATCATTGCAGAAACCCTCCCAAATGTAATAATTTCAGGATGTGAGGATAACAAGGACGACATCACTTTAAAAGTGATAGCATAAAATACCAGCGTATTTTGAGCAACCGGTTGCACTTTTTCTAGTATCTAAAAAAGGAGCTGCAACACGTGTACCTAGGTCTTTAATCACCTGATAAAAGCAGGGTTGCAAACACAAGTCTCTCAGCAAATCGGCGACTTGTGAGAATATCAAGGAATCAACTACACAAATGACATCCTCTTGATACTCCTCTAACACAAGTAATGGAGGATAATACCTAAAATAGATTTACTAAAACGAATCCCCTCCAATCCGTTACTACCTGTAACATGTGTGCAATAAGTCGTAAATTATCGGGCAGTGTTCTTGTGTGTTCGTCCCAAAGAGCTCGCAGAGCTTTGAAATAACTTTGAAATTGAAATTGCAGAGCCTAATGCGATTCTGGGCATTATCCTATAAAGTGCGCTTAGTTACGTCAGTAAGAGCTTTCACTACATACCTTTTTCATCAGCTTGAGATTATTTAAAATTTCGTTTACCAGCGTTAGTAACGGTTGCCTAATAGAAAATGACTCCTTATTTAATATGTGAGAAAATTTCTGCGCAATCGACATGTAGCACTTCCAGTTGAAAGCGTTCACCTTTACATTGATACACGCAAGTATCTCGCCCATTTCGACCAAAAATTTTAGAACTACCCCTACATATTAAAAACACACAAAGCGAGCGTTTACCTTCTTGCAGCAGTACCCCCTCGTCGGACGCATCTGCAACGATCTCAAATAATGCAAACAATTTTTTGTGAACGTTATCGGCAAGTTTAAAAATGGTTAAAAGTTCCGTAAGTTTATGACTGTAGCCTCCATACAATGTGTTACTAAAAGAATTCTTATAAATGCACTTTATTGCGCTTACTTGCAGTTACCTATCTTTGCAATGGCGAAATGTGACCAGCAACATTTCAATGGTATTCAGAGGCACGCTTCTCACATCGCACAACGCAAATTGCTTAGTTTTCAGTAGGCAATCGAGAATGTCGCCCAACATTTTAAGAACTGTGATACACATCTAAAATGGAAATTCAACACAGTCTATACAAGTGTAGATTTTTACCTGCAAAGAATTTTGCAGAACGTGTAGTTTATCTGAAATGATTTCATTGCTAACTGCGACTGCTTGTACGTCTTTCACTAGCTACAACTTAACGTTAAAAAGACGAGGTTATCAGGTTTTCTCTTACGTTAGCGTAAATATCTTTCAGAACTGGAATTAAATGTTTCAACAGTTGTTCGTCCACAATAATTATAGAAATTGATGGTAAATGTTGATGAATCAAAGTTTGTGCGATTTTAAGCCGTTCCTCGACGTTTGTGTGGGTTGTGAAAGAGCTGTATAGGCATGTTAAGAAAATTTCCTATAGTCTCAAAGTAGTGATACCAAAAAGGATATAATTAATGCAGTAAGAGAGTTTTGGTTGTCTTCAGAGTTGTGCATTTCGAATACGTGGTCATTAAAGAGATCTGAAAGTTCCTCACAAAATACATCCTGGTTTTGTCTATCCATTTCTAACGTTTTAGCATTTCAAAAATCAACGACCACAAAGAAATTTAAAATTTTTAGGTTATGTACAGTCCACTAGGCTGTGGTTATGTGCCCGGTAACGTTGGCCTAACGAAGGTTTACAACTTGTACAGGGTGGTTCAAAGTCGTGGTTCACAATTGTGATGTCCGTCAAGGTGGGTTCATTGCTCTCTATTCATCCGTTTCGTTGATCCGTCAAACAGATAGTACATTTTTTTGTACGTTTGTACGTTTACAACGTATAAGCATAACCTAAATTTTATTTTGTATTGTACCCACCGTGATTTTCAGTACGAAGATTATCATCGTGAAGAACTATTAATGTAACAAACATAACCTCACTCTTATTAAAAACGGACGACGTACGATTTAAACATTTACTGTCTTTTTGGCATACTGGCATACTATACCCTTTTCATTGAGCTAGTCGGTATAATTCACATTTTGATACCTACATACATAACAGATTTACGTGTATCTTTGCCTTCATGTTAATAATAATCATCTCAAAACATTTGTAATTAACCCTCTTCTTTTGTGGGGTCTTCCAACACTTTTACAATTTCTATTATACCAATATAATTTCCAAAAATCACCCATGCATAAAGAGAAAAGTACTTACCAAAAGTAGGCGACCATCCTTCTCCTAAAACAAAATAGAAATTTGAATTAGTAACACTAACAATCATGAAATTAAATTATTGATAAGTGTATGCAGTCATAATAGTAGTAGGTATCAAGTTTTTAGGCAGCTAGACTAGGTTAAAAGCTGGTAGGTACAGGTCCCAAAATTATCCGAACGAGTGATTGCCGTATCGTATATGGTGAAAATGTTCCATCGGATTATCAAGTAGGTATTGGTCGAAACAATTTCCGTCGAAAACTCTTATAACACGATGCAAAATGGGGTAGGTCTCTTGAGGTAAGAACGCAGGGGAAAATAAAGAGAATTGAAAAAATAGTGTTAACAGATCGAAAAATAAAAGTTAATGGGAGGTGGGATTATCAGACAGTTTTGAAAATCTTACACGAAGATTTGAGGATGAACAAAGTGTCCGCGAGAAATTTGATTCAAAAATCAGTTAGAATTGAGGGATAGGTAAATGTTACGGGACTTTTTACAAAGTTACCCAAAAATGAAAATCGAAAGTAGTAAAAAAGTGTACCTTTAAGTAGGTACCTATTTATGTAATGTTTAGGGTTACCTGCACAAACTTTAAAGGGCTCATCACCATTGGACCTATTGGAGAACGCACTCTGAGTAAACAACCGCACTGATAGACGGCGAATGACTGGATTGAAAATCGATTTTATGTTCGATTCCCTGAGAATTATATTATTATATTAAATTGAATCATCACTGACCCGTTTAACCTTACAAATATAAATGAGTACCTAATGACTACACCTTACCTTGTCTATTTGTGAACTGTGCAAAATGACGATTTGAAATAGGTATGTTTCAAAAATGGTTGAACAAGTAAGAATAGAGTAAATAAATAAAGCAAGTACTGTTTTTGAGACCACAAAAATTGATGTCTTGGTTATAACTTAAGTATCATCAAAAGGGGGAAGATTAATATGCAGCAATCCCATTTATTTTTATTATTCAGTATTTATTATTTTTTGTACTCCGTTTTCCACCTCGATCTTACTTACAAAATTAAAGGGAAAGTACAAAGACATTTTTGCTTCCCGATCCAGAGGCCCCGAAAGATTAAAAACAGTCCTTAGGAGGACAAAAAAAACGGCAATTCTGCTTGTACTAAGATTAAAGGTGAATAGAACAGTGCACTCAACTTTAAAGGAATGGAATCTACCCCAAAACCGGTAATAAAAGAAAAAACAAAACTAAGACTTCCCCTAAGACCTATCGCAAAAAAAATTCCAGGACTCTAGGACAATTCCCGTAGAAGTAGTTGAAAAGAAGTGGGTCCTAACGTACGAACGAAGGACATAAAAAGAATACATATCGTTTAAAAATACAAATAATGATCCCCCCTCCCTGTAAGGTTTCTGATTTTAAATAAAAACAAATTTTAAAAAAATCAACAAGCTGGTTCTTGAGGACTTCAGAAGATTGCCGGTTTCATGTGTTCATTGGCGCGACTAATAACGGAATTGAATGAAAGCAAATCAATTTACATTATACTAGTGATCGTTGTAACGAAGCACCCGTTTTGCGCCCCGAAGTTATGACCGCACTGTACATTTCTGAAGACGTCCAGCTTTGGTGACCACCCGGTATCGAGCTTGGCGTTTCGTTACGAAGGAGTTCCTGTATTAAATTATTTGCTCGAGAAGTGAGTTGTCTGTCTCTACATATTTGTGTAATTGTTTATTGGTCCGCCTCTAAGTACGCAATATCTTGTGTCATAGAAGAAGATAGGTAGTTAATTAATATTTTGATATTTCAGCGCCGTTAATTAATTAATAAACATTTTAGATTCCCAAATCCAGGACAGAAACGAATTCAAAATCGAGTTGTTCTTGCAGAATGTCGAGGTGTAGATAACGACAACAGTTTCTGCGCCGGAAAAATCCAATTATGACTACGTGTTCATTAGATGAATGAGTTTGAAGTTTGAATGCGCATGGATAATGAATGACGTTTTAATGAGTGGTAGAAAAAACCGGCAGACGGCGTTCAAAGTTATCTCAAAATTAGCGCTTATAAAATGGGAAATCCGATGTTCATCTTATATTTTTTCGATAAGTACAGGCCGAGTAATTAATTAGAAACCGAATTAATTGGTACCGCTTTACCAATACTTGAGAAACTCCGTTATGAACTCTGCTTATTTTATATTGACGGAAATGGTCCATATTTTGAATTTCTAAATATAACACCCTGTATATGTTTACATTTTTGGATTTCTGAGACAATTCTGAATCCGAATGTGACCGTTTCAAAAGTTTTTACGCCTACTTGATTTTATAAAGTCACTTTTAATATTGCATCTAGGTGGCCATGATCGGATCCAAACTAATCTAAGGAGCTCAGGACAATCCCAAAGTTTTAATGGATAATATGAGAGACAGAAACAAAACAATTTGGCAAAATTACATTTTCGCGTCTATTAATTTCAAATGGCAACCCTTTTTTGACAAGTACTTTCCGAAAAAAGAATATTTTAACGAATCTAAGAGAATCTTTAGACTCAGAAATCCAAAAATGAAAACCGGAAATGTGCGGAAAGAGAAAAATATGCGAAAACTCTCCTCATTTACCTGCACCAAATCTCATTTTGATACACCTAATACTCTAGAAATTATGGCTTGTCTAATAGATTCGTTAACACCCAGTATGTGTCTCTTTTCCACCAAGGTCTTTTAGATTCACAATGTGCCCCTCCCTGAAGACTTTCTCTGGATCCGCCACTGATATTTACATAGGTTAGAACTAATGTGTAAACCAGCGACGTCGGAAGTGAATAACGTTTGGGGGGGGGGGGGCAAAAATCAGCGACCAGTCTGAAAGGTCCCTCCCACGCAAAATTGTGTACGAATTAATGCAAAGCAGTGGGTTTTGTAAGTGACCCTGAAACCTGTTTACTTAATCAATCCAATAATGAATTTTTGAAAGGAAAGTTTTGAAAAAAATTTAAAAAAGAAATTAATTCCTTTCGTTGAGACCTTTCATTTGAGTGCCATGAAGGATAAAACTAGTTCCCCTCCCCCCTCCGCCCCATAGTTTGATAAGAGCAGTAGTTGGTAGAAAACGGTTCCTTTCGTTGAGACCTTTAATTAGATTACAATGAGAGATCAAATTAATTTTTAACCCCCCCCCCCCCCTCAAGCTCCGTCGCTCACTGATCTCCAAAAAGAGTCGCACGGGAAAGTTATAGTCCAATTGTTTCGATGAGACCTTTCATTAGAATACTGTAGAACATGTATTTACACCCCCCACCTCCCCCCCCCCCCCCATTTCATAAAAGTTTAACTTGGCACTACTAAAGGCATGTTGTCTGGCACACTTTCAAGGTATAGGCTACCTACTGCAAAAAAATCCAGGACTCTAGGACCATTCCCCTAGAAGTAGTTCGAAACGGCAGAAGTGGGTCCGGACGGACGGACGGACAAAACGCAAACAATAGCACATTTTTTTTAATTCTTAAAAAATTCGCTAAAAATTAAATACCTATATCCAAAAATTTTCCGCCTTTCCGCGGTTTTGCTGGAAAATTCTTTCAATATATCCTCTACTTGTACACTTTTTGTTATTAAGGATCCTCAGATCCTTTATAGTTTTGTATTGTCGTCCGTCCGTCCGTCCGTCCGTCCGTCCGTCCGTCCGTGTGCGCTCTAACTCTTTTTAAAAGTGGCCGATTGTGTTGAAATTTGGTATACGGGTACGTTGGACATTAAGAACGGACGCTATTGATTTTCAGGAAGCTGGTTCAACAGGAACAAAAGTTATACGACTTCGAGTGAATCGGGAACAGGAAAAACTGCGAACTCAATATAATAAAAATTAACATATTTCATTCCCTAGGTCATGTATCGAGTTCGGACTTTCGCTAGATTATTCCCTATGACTCTTAGATGTGTAACAATTCAATATAACTCTTCTCTGTGGTCTCGGTCAAAAGTTTTAGAGCAAAATGTACCCAAAATTATTCTTTACACATGAATTTAGAGTTGTAAAAGCTTTCAAGCGCATTATCTTGATGCTGAAAGAGTTGATAACGTGCACGTTTGATAACCGCATGTGTGTGATTCAAAAATGTTAAATTATTTTTCTGAGGCCACATGGATTTTGATCAAAATATGTCAAAATCGTTAATTATGCACCAAGATCGTTGGGAAAAAGACTACGCGCATTATCTCAATGCCCAAGACATGAATTTGATGCATTTTTGGCGACCACGTGGATTTTGATCAAAACATGTCAAAATCGTTATTTATGCACCAAGATCGTTGGGAAAAGACTAGGCGCATTATCTCAATGCCCAAGACATGAATTTGATGCATTTTTGGCGACCACGTGGATTTTGATCAAAACATGTCAAAATCGTTATTTATGCACCAAGAGCGTTGGGAAAAAGACTAAGCGCATTATCTCAATGCCCAAGACATGAATTTGATGAATTTTTGGCGAAAACGTGGATTTTGATCAAAACATGTCAAAATCGTTATTTATGCACCAAGATCGTTGGGAAAAAAACCAAGAGCATTATCTCAAAGCCCAAGACATGAATTTGATGCATTTTTGTTAACTATAAAATGTATTTTGTAAGATTAAAATAAATTGTCGTTAAAAGTGATTGTAATACTGAGGATCCTTCGATATTTCGTTGTATCGGTTTATTTGATGTGTTAGTCCCTTTTGAGTGATTTATCTACTCATTCTTAGAGGGGGCGCGGACCCCCTTGTGTAAAAACTGAGAGGGCGACGCCCCCTCTGACCTATACTTCCGACGTCGCTGGTGTAAACGTAATGTCGCTGTTGAGCGGCTAGTTCTCTTTTTATGTAATTTTTAGCGCATTTTTTAACAATTAAAAAAAAATGTGCTATTGTTTGCGTTGTGTCCGTCCGTCCGTCCGGACCTACTTCTACCGTTTTGAACTACTTCTAGGGGAATGGTCCTAGAGTCCTGGAATTTTTTGCAGTAAATACTACCTCGAAGGTGTGCCAGACGGCCATCAAATTTCGCTGTCTAAAAGGCCCCCCCCCCCCCCCCCACGAATTATTTCCTCAGATGCTGTTTTTGAAAGTAAAACGTGCATAACTTTTACATACGACAACCAATTGGTCTCAGACTTTGCATACGCATGCATTTAGTGGCCAAGTTAAACTTAAGAAAATGGGGGGGGGGTAAATATGTTCTACCCTTCATGGTATTCTAATGAAAGGTCTCATCGAAATAAATTGGTTTGTACAAAGTATAACATTCTCGCGCGACTCTTTTTCGAGATCAGTGAGCGACAAGGCCTGAGGGGGGAGGGGGGGGGTGTTAAAATTAATTTCTCATATGTATTCTAATTAAAGGTCTCAACTAAAGGAACCGTTTTCCACCAACTATTGCCCTTCTTTCTGTCCTCTTATCAAAGTATGGGGTGGAGGGGAGGGACCGGGGGGGGAACTAGTTTTATCCTTCATGGTACTCTAATGAAAGGTCTCAACGAAAGGAATTAATTTCAACCATAGCCCTTTATCTGCACAAGAGTTGTGCACAATTTATACTTGTTTAAATTTTGACAGCACAACAAACAAAAGTTTATCAAAAAAACATCTGCCAACAATTTAAAAATAATATTGGAGAGAAAAAATTATAAGGCGCTAGCACATTGACATACGTTTTTCGTTGTCTATTCCCTTGGTAGCATATGTTATGTAATTTTTCAAAAATTGGTAAAAAAATTTGGATTGGAAAAGGCTACTGTCAATATGAAATATCAAATGTATTAATGATAACAATTGTTTCGCATTTCTACTGTGAATCAGTCTATAAATAATGTAAGGTTTGATACATATTATAATTTTAATTAACGGTTATATTTTCGATTAAAAAATATTTATGTAATGGCGTAATTAAAGTTTCCGTACACTCGTTTACATTAAAGTTAGTATACAAGTGGGTACCTAGCGCGTACCTTCACCTAATGCTGAAGTTGACTAATCAATTCGTAAAATAAATTTACAATATGAATCACCCCTTTTGAGTTTCATTTTGACTGGTTAGAATTAATTTTGGAGAAATTTCTGTTCAGATTCAAAAATATCTACTCCCATCGTATCGTTTATCATCAGCCATCAAGACTCTAGTTTCCATGCTAGCATGACACTTAAGATATAAGTAACACATCTAAGCAAAGTTTGTCACCAGGTGGGCTAGGAGACGAACAGAAGAACGGAACAGGCATATTATTTTAATTAGGGCTGATTACGTGAGATGCATCGTGTAAATTTATGACTCATGGTACCTATGCAGTTCTCTGGTACGAAATGTTCGCACCAAACAGTACCTATTGTTTCAGTACCTGGTACATACAATATCATAAACTTTGCAAAACAAGAGGGAGAAATCTATAAAACGGTCGCTAATTAATAACGACTAATAAGTAGCTGCTATGAAATCCATCTGGTGCGTTATACTGTTGTATTTAATTACATACGCCAGCGTCACTGTCGCCCAAGATGATGACGATGATGACGACGACCATGATGACCACAATTTTGGCGACGATGATGACACTCACGGTCGAGCGGACGACGAAAATTCGGAAACAGACGTAAGACAAAAGCCCATAGGTAAGTTAATACTGTCCCTCCCACTAAAACACTCCATTCCTTGCCCATAGTACCAATTCAACTCTCGGACACCTCCGACAGCTTTATTCGCGGATCGCTAGAATACATAATGGTATCGACAAGATTAAAATTCAGTCAGGTTAAACTAATCTGCAAGGAAAATTACAATGGAGTCCTCGCGGTAGTCAATGATGAAAAGGTCGCCAACTTTTTGTCGGAAGCTCTGTCGGAGACTAACTTGGATCTGGATTCGTTATGGATTGGAGGGGAAAACAAAACGTTGGATGACGAATCCGCCTGGTACTGGACTTCGTATGAAAGTATGGAAGCAATCGAGCCGGCACTTTTCGACAAATTGGTCGCCTTAAATAGCGATATATCGGAAAACCGATTGTGTTTAGCGTTCGGTAGGTCCGACCATCAAATTCCGCAGTTCCGTCCGTTGCGGTGCTCGGCTTTGAGGTCCTTCATTTGCCAAAGAAAGAGTAAGTGCTACGGAGCAAAATTTGTAATCGATAGCAAATTGTAGGGGTTGGCGGACTCGGCGAAGGTAATTCTACCCATCCTGGTTGGATAAGGGCGGCCAGAAGACGGTACAAAATCTACTACGATACGGTCAGTTGGGAGAGGGCTTCGACCCGCTGTGCTAGGCACAATATCAACGCTGTGCTCGCCGTAGTGCCGAGTTACCTGGTCAGCGAGCTGTTGGGCCGATATCTTTTGATTGGCAGACCAAGTTTGGAAAACGCGTGGATTGGAGCTCGATACGACAACGAGATTAGCGCTTACCGATTTGAAAGCGAATCGGATCAGTCGTTGTCCAACATCACCGACGCAAACAAGTATCCTCCATGGAAATCAAACCAGATAACTCGAACGGACGCGTGCGTATTACTCGATCGGCATTTAACGAACAGAACCCTCTTCGTAGAGGCACGCTGCGAACGATTGCGCTCCTATATCTGTTCCATCGATTCTACCGATGTCGAGGACGTCAATCATTACATCGACCTCTTCTTCGACAACTACGGATATCGCTACTTCTTTGATATGCGTTCGTGGGAGGAGGCGTTCGAGACTTGCGAGACGTACAGCAACTACAACGGAAAACTTGCAGAAATAACGCACCCCGAACAACTCGTCCATTTGCTATACGTTATGGGCGAAAACCGAACGGACACCAAGCACCTGTGGGTCGGTGGGAAATACGACGGAAAGGAATGGGTATGGGCCACTTCCGGGGAGAAGATCGACAAAGATCAACTTAACTTCGTCGCTAATTTAACGTACACCGAAGACGTCGAATCCATGAACAATTGCTTGAACATGGACAGAGAAAATCACATTGTCGGTTTACATTATGGCACGGACTGCTCCTGGAGGCAACACTTCGCTTGTGATTTCCGTAAGTACTAACCGCCCGGCGTAAGTTTGGAGGTCAGTTAAACTTGTTTCAGCCGCCGATGATTTGAGGAAATTGGGCGTCGAGGAGAAGGACCACCAGAATGACGAAAGACTACAAGAGGCACAGAATCTGAAATATTTAGCGTACTAAGCAGTTGCCAAATTACGTTTGCATACATATGTACTTGTTCTCGGGGTTCATATAAAGGTTTTATGTGCATCGAAAGGTTTGCTTATTCTGTGTATGACCCTCCCACACCACTCAAAAAGTTCTCAGGATTGGAGGAAGCATCTTCTAGCACCACCAACCACCGTACCTAACCCCTCTATACCTAAATGAAATATATTTAATATTCACGTTCCATTGGAACTTTCCTTTTTATCTCCTTCATGCCGGCTTCTTGTCGAGCCTGATCCAAATATCCGCGTGGAGAGTCGAGAGCATCGATTCAGGCGAAGCTGTGGAAGTTGGGAGATATGATGCTGAACCCACTGTGAGCGATGCTCAAAAACTACCAATGAGCTGGATTGACAATTAAATTAAAAGCTATTCAGCATGTTGACTGAATACGGAAGAATGCTTTTCTGCATTTGCTTGGTATTTATCGTTGATGTTCCAATGAAATTTAGGGATATTGCAAAGCTGCTCAATGGATGAGGGCGGGTAATGATGAAATGAACTCTTTGAAACTGAATGAAACTTGGTCTAGTGTCGAATGACCAACCACCCGTGCTGTGATCCATCAAATGCAAATGGGAAAAGTGTGTTGTTAATACGAGGGTTGTTCAGAAAGTAGCAGACGTTTTGAAATAAAAAATTTTGAACTTATAAAGCAAATTAATGTAGGTATACATTTGGGGGCTACACTCTTGGGCTATTTATCAACACAAGCGCCATTCAAATTGAGGCACTTATCATAGTGTGGCACAAGTGTTTTGATTCCAACTTTTATAAATTCGCCACTTGAGACTTTAACACTTTAACGGCATCACTGTCCATGTGCTGTGTTGCAAGCGAGGTCTTCATCGCTGGGAAGAGGTGAAAGTCGCTTGGCGCTAGATCCGGGCTGTATGGAGGGTGATCATTTCTCCCATCCAAAGCATCCAAGAGCTGTCCAGTACGGTTGACTGTGTACGAGCGGGCGTTGTCGTCGAACTTCATGTCAGCGTTACCCAGTGCAGGTTAAAATCTCACGCGGCGGATTTATAAAGGTTGGAATCAAAGACTTGCGCTACGCTATGATAAGTGCCTCAATTTGAATGGCGCTTGTGTTGATAAATAGCCCAACAGTGTAGCCCCCAAATGTATACAATAATAGATTTTCTTTGCAAGTCTAATAGTATATTAAGAGACAAGTGTATAATCAAGTCTTTAAAGTACGCGCAAGGAGTTTAAGGGCACGACGCAAAGCGGAGTGCCTTTAACGTTGCAAGTGCTTTAAAGACCAATTATACACGTGCATCTTATAGTATTTTTTATTATACCTGCAGTATAATTTAAAAATAGGAAATTCAATGAAATCATATTGACGTTATACTCGAATACATGTCTAAAGTAATTAAGTGGGCTGGGTGTTCGTAATTTCACGATTGCCATGGAAATGTCACTTGACGTTTGCTTATAAAAATCATCGCCTTGGTGAATTAAACGATTTCCATTGAAAAAGATAATACACTGTCCATTAAATCGGTTGTTGTAAAATCTAAACAAACGTTGGTAGGTGTAAAATCCAACTCCAGTAAAGCCTATTATAAAGAATATGAAAAGTTGTTTCCATGGATGAATAGGAAGTTACTTACGAATACAGTCTTAAATGCATCCATAATGCTGGCATATATGAAGGAAATGTCAAAGGTATTTAAATCTTCTATATTTTGGTGCATTCATTCAAAACTTCAAAGCAATGCTGCGATTAAAAAGTGGGACAGATTTGGAAGCATACCCTAAATTACGCGCGTTTGTGAAAGCTTCAAACAAAGGATAGGTACAAAAGCCAAAGAAATGTTCTGCATTTACAGAAAGCGACCTAAGAGGATTTTTTATTTCATCCAGATGACAGTTTCAAAAGTCATACTTGAAGTATCGTTACTTAGCAACTTTAAAGCACGTGTGTTTTAAAGGCCCTTTTTCGCACGCATTTGAGTGTTTAAAACGGAGATTGTGATTCAGGTATAATAAAAAATTCTTTATTTCAAAACGTCTGCTACTTTCTGGACAACCCTTGTAATTGTACTCGTTTATTACTAGCAACCACTCAATTCATATCCATATTTACAGTTTGTTTGAGGCACAATAAAAATGATTGTTGTTTTTTTATATATCCCTAATTGTACTAATAAAACGTTTATTAAAGTCGCGTTCATAATAGGTGTAACGCCACCACCGGTAAGTTGGCTACTCACGCAACATATGTCATACATGTATTGTGTGTTGCCTACTTTCTAATTTGATTTTTCGATGCAACATGGCGGCTGGGCTCCTATTGTCGCCACTGTCACTGTAAAAAACGTCTTCAATTGAGCAGCAATATAAACCTCGTTCTGCAAAATTGTGCTTATGGATTTATGCATTAGATGTCGCTGCAAAAAATTAAAATTACAGTGACTATTCGAGACAGAGGCGACAATAGAGTGTGTGATAATCCACCCTGATGGTTAGGCAACACAGTTTACATCCGAAACAAAAAATAATATGCTCTGTATATAACCAACGACCGTTTTGCGCAGATGCCGAATACTAGGGGATTTTGGTAACGAAGCTAGGGGAAGGAGAAGATGGCGACGAGGTCGACGGAAGGCACACGCTTTCCCGGTTTTTTTAATTATTCTTGATTATTTTTGGTGATGGTGTTTTGAAGGTGTATTTACAGGTAGTAACCATTTTATTCTTTCTTGTACTAGCTATTTAATCATTGAATTTCTTGCCACAATTTGATATTCACATTTTGCTGATTTTGCATAAACTACGATATCTGAATCATGGCGTACTCCATGCCTTTGTTTGAGTAAGTACCGTTAGATGAATCGTGTTTGTAATACTGTACAGATGATTTTGCCATTATTTTGTTTAATTAAGTATTTACTTCTGTTATTCATGAGGAGTCGATTATCGGTGTGATGTTGCTCTGTTCGATTGACCCGTAACTATTCCGTGAGGGAAGTACCTAATACAGTTTGATGGTTCGCTGTATCTGTTACTTTCTGTTTCGTGGCTCGCTGCAGTTCTTGCGCGTTAGCTATACGAAGGGGAGCTCTTTTATTTGATGTTTCGATGTTTGTATGTGCGAGTGGGTCATTCTGTCTCCGTGGAGTAGGTACCTAATGCAGTTAGATCTTTCGCTGTATCTGTTGCCTACACGTCTCGTGCGGATTGTAGTTCTTAACATCTTAGCAATACGAGTGGGGGCCCTCTCATTTACATTTCCTCTATTTAAAATATGTTCTGCTTGAGCGATAATCGATTTTCACATGAATATTTGCTATTTGGCCAATGGCATTCTCACATGTACTTTTCGTGGTAAATTAAATTATGTTAACTGAAGGATGGAGTAGAGCCACACCATTTACATGTTTCCTATGTACATGCAATTTGTTTACTTGACGAGTTGTGTTATTTCTATTGATCGTACAGGTATTTTGATGTGTTTTTGTATTGAATTGGTTTATCATGTTTTCCACTGCATTTATGATGTCTTATGTATTTTGTTTTTATGAACTTGTTTAATTGCATTTGATTTGATTATCTGATTTTTATCATACCATTTGAGATGTTTTATTTATGTGTATTTTCTCTTGCATTTTATTGCTGTAGGCAGAGCTGTCACTTTTAATAAGATTTAAATCTTTTTTATGATTTAAATACTTTTTTCGATTTAAATCATTTGATCTTAAATCTTTTTACGGAAAATGATTTTTGATTTAAGATTTAAATCTTCATGAAAACTATCTTTGATTTTGAACTTAAAAAATGATTTAAATCTTTTAAAAAGATTTAAATACTTTCGAAAAGATTTAAATCGTTTCCGAGTGATTTAAATCTTTTAGAGACGATTTAATTAATACATACTAACAAATTCTCTTGATTTATTTCAACCTGACTAAGCTAATTAACCCGGGTTTTATTTCGGTAGACGTTTATATGTATTTATTACAAAATCGAGTATACCTACTGAGATTGACGATGTCTTGGTTTTTTAAAAGTTCTTTCGCAAAAAAATAGGTACATATTTTAATTTAATAAATAATAACAATAAAATACGGTAGAAATGGTAAGTATATTGATGAATGGGTTTCGAGCAAGATCATCAGACCAATCAGTTTTATTGAATTTAAATCCTTTACAAACCTTTTGTCACAAAACGATTAAATCATCGGAAAAGATTTAAATCATTACATCATTACATTATTTAAATCTTTATACGTGATTTAAATTAACAAAATTAGATTTAAACCTTTTTGAATGAATTAAATACATTGAAAGTATCTTAAATACTTTCTAAAAAGATTTAAATCACAAAAAATATTTAAATCTCAAAATGATTTATTATCTAAATACTTTCTTATTGACAAAAGTATCTTTGATTTAAATCATTTGTTAAAATGAAATGCATCTTTGATCTTTGATTTAAATCGTTTTTTAAACGATTTGTGACAGCTCTGGCTGTAGGTGATTTATTTCATGTACTTGTGTGGCCTGTGCCAGGGTTTTAGTCCCGGAGAAGGTTTCCCTGGCATGGTCTTGTGTGTGCGTTAATATATTTATTTGATCTTGTCATTTCTTACGCACAAAAGTTCTGTCTTTTATTTAATTCCCGTCCCGATTATGTCTCACGGCCCAACACATAAAAGAACCGATTACACAACGTAGGAGTCCATTCCTGCCATCGATATCGAACCGACTGTCATCCAAATTCAAAAGTGCCGCGAAACTATCATCGTTTCGACTTGAAAGGTAGGTGGCTCTGCTTGTAGTTTTTGTCAGAGTTGCCAACCGTAAGTATAGGGTAAGTCAACGTTTTCCGTGTCGGCTTGATAGACCCCCCTAGGAACATTACAAGTGTATAATTTTTTATTGGTTGTTGAGATCGGCGGCCATGTTGCATCGAATTTCTGCTACATGTAACATGTACAGGGAATTTTTCTTAAATGTGTACATATGGGCTATTTATAAAAAAATTTGCTGTGGCTAGCACAGATACCGCCCTCACACCTGGGCATGCGCGATTCTGCCCTTTTATGTCTATGAATATGTGTACCAAATTTGGTTCCAATCGGTGCAACCGTTTAGGCGGAAATGAGAGTTTGGCACACTTGCACATGCGCGATTCTGCCCAAAAGCTTTTCAGCTGTTACTTTTATATACAGGGTGTTACATGATCGCATGTAAAAAAATTGGGTGATAGAGGGAATCAAGACAAGTACTTTTTCCAAATAAACCGAGGGTCCAGCGTGTTTCGTTTGGGAGCCACTCTCAAAGAAGTGGTGAAATTTGGATTTCTTGTTTAATTTTTTCTAAGCAAGCAAAAAAATTATCAAGATGGGGGGGGGGGGGCACAATAGGTTTTCGGGTATGCCCTACCCGATTTTGAACGTTTTTTTTTTTCAAAATTCCTACCACGAAAGGGCGCACCCCTACTTGGGGGTATGAAAAAAAATTCTGATTACGACGAAATTTGGTATCTGGGGGTTTTTGAACATGAAAACTACGAGTAAAGCGACACCCTTCAAGCATTCATTGTTCAGTTCATTCCATTCCGAACTCTGAGGCTCACTTCTCTGGATGACATCTAATTTACATTAAGATAAGCGTTGTTTTACCTACTTGTATTTGGCCTATACGCGCGCATTTGTATTCAGAACATCAATGTCTTTGTGGAAATTTGTTCAAGTAATCAATTTAATAGATCATTCTTGATTGGAGTTTTCACTTTCATGCTACGCCAAAAAATGATAAATTCATTGTAAAACACTTCAATTAAAACAGAATTTTTTAACAACCTAACATCAACCCCAATTAGAGAAACGTGTTAATAATTTATTAATAGTGCAAGAAACTAAATACAGCACATACTTATAAATTTCCAACGGGCCATTATGACGTACAGGCCAGGTGGCAATCGCCACCCGCCCCCCCGGGCCAGTCCGCCCCTGGTTAAATGGCGGCAAAGTTGCGAATTTCCGTGCTGAATAACAATCTGAAAAGAAATTTAAACTACCATCAATAGTTTTGAAAATATCGAAAACGCAAAAATACGAAATTTTCCTTTTCAATTTTTTCATGGTAAAATAATCCTACTATAGACATTTCTAATTAACACATTATTCAGACACTTTTTAATGGAGATTTCGAATATGACATCCCCTTTTTAATAACTTTTAAGGTGATGGAGAAACACGTGGAAACTTTAGTTTTTCTTATGGGAGCCCTTTTGAATTTTGACATTTTGAGATTACGTCTTTTTTTGTCTTTACAACGATATATCACACATGGTGGATCAGTATCACAGTTTTCCTAAAAATACAATTTTTAGTTTTTTGGGAAGGGTGCTTTGGAAAAACAAAACGTTCATTTATTGTGAACAAAGGTTTGAGAGTTTGATCCATTTGTCTGGTTGCAGTGCTGACAGGGAACTAGTTGTGTTGAGAAAATTCGATTTTCATCTGAACAGAATTGAACCATCGTTTTGCAAGACAATTATAATTCAAATTAGAACAAAATACGTAAGAATAAATACTATTTTCGCAATAAAACTAACACAAACGTTAATGACACTATAACTCTCGCCAGGAAAGACTGCCGGTCACAGAACACTTGATCCCGATCTACAATCTCTGTTTTTCGTAAGGTGCTATAGCGACTTCCGGGATAGTATCGTGTCAATCTTGAACAAAAAGACTTTTCGTTCAACATTGGCACGATCTTTTTCCGGAAGTCGCTCGCAGCTTAAGAAAAACAGAGATTGTAAATCGACACAAGGTGTGCTGTGACCGGCAATCTTTCCTGGCGAGAGTTATACTTGAAATCAGTCAACCTTTTGTTCACAACAAGAGAACGTTTTGTTTTTGCAAAGCACTCTTGGCAGAAAATGAAAATTGTATTTTTAGGAAAAATGTGATGGGTACTGAACCACCATGTGTGATATATCGTTGTAAAGAGAAAAAAATGTAATCTCAAAATGTCAAAATTCAAAATGACTCCCATAAGAAAAACTAAAGTTGCCACGTGTTTCTCCATCACCTTAAAAGTTATTAAAAACGGAATTACTATTCGAAATTTCCATTAAAAAGTCTCTGAATAATGTGTTATTTAGAAATGTCTAGTACGTTTACGATGAAAAAATTAAAAACTAAAATCAGAAATTTTCTTTTTTTTGTGATATTTTCAAAACTATTGATGGTGGTTTAAATTCCTTTTCAGATTATTATTCAGCACGAAAATGTGCAACTTTGCCCTAATTTAATTAAATTTCTATCTCTTAAGATAAGCGAGATCCCCATAGTGGCACTCGAAAAATGGACACCGTGTATAAGTATGTTCTAGAGCATAATACTCACCGCCTTCGATTTAATAACTTTGGATCCTTATATTAACAATGATTTATTAAAGGCCAGGAAGTGTTCTTATTATAAAAAAAAAACCGAATTTAGTCTTTGACATTTTAAAGCTAAAAACTTCCCCCTCGCCTCAAATTCCAAACTAAACCGAACGTCGGTTCCTATACATTAAGTCATCCCTCTAGTACCTTTTCCGTTGTGACATTATAACTATCGTCATTCCTTGTAATTAAAATGATTAATACAAAAATTTGTCGCGCAAATTCATTGCGATTTATATTTATTGTAACATTAATCTTCGAATGAAGATCCAAATCAATCGATCGAGGTATCGAGCATATTTGATATTGTATTGTAGTAAAGGCAACACGTACGTTATACGTGTATTGTGTGTTGCCTACTTCTAATTTGAAGTTTCGATGCAACATGGCGGCTGGGCTCCTATTGTCGCCACTGTTGCTATAAAATCTGTAATCTACTACGGCCCTACCATCGATTTCAGGCGATCGGCAAAAAATGGACTGTGAACCGTATCAATAAGGTATGCCCACGAAGGTTTTAGATGTAGTAAAACCTTAGACCATATAGTACATGGACTGCTATTAGCCCTATGCTTTCAATACAAAATGGCTGGGTCACGGATAGAGGGCACTGTAGTCGTGGGTATGTGAATCTCAGGGTAAACTAAAGTCGTGTAAACACCACTTGGATCGCGTAAAGAGTAGCTTTTATAGCAACCGCGTAGAACGGGAAGCTTTAAATACGCTTAATTATCTTCTATACGTCCACAAATAAGAATAGGTTTGCTTTTTTGGCATATATCTGGACGATTAATTAATTGACGTTTGTTAATTTATAGGTTGACAGTCTCAAATCGTAACTAATCGGACAACTTCGGACAGACTCGTTTACCCTGAAACTCACATACCCAGACGATGTCCTTGACCATATTTTCGTTACAATTAGCAGTCCATGTACTATATGGTCTAAGAGTAAAACACTTATCGAAATTCCCACGGGAACGGCAACAGGAAAACACAGGATTTAATGTTTTACAGTTGAAAAGAGGCTTGACATTTAGAACGTAGGTTTCTTTGAAGACGTTACGGGGACGGGGTATGAAGTTCGCCGGGACTGCTGGTCTGGAAAAAAAGGTATCCGATATTAAGGGTTTTAAAAAGCGTCCCCTATTTTATAAATGTATATTTCTTTCTTAGTTTAATTTAAATAAAACACTTCGCAATTAGGTGCTTTTGGTTTGTTAAAACTCCTGTCCCGTTAACATTTCATTATTTTACAAGTAACATCCCTGTCCATAGATGTATGAAATCATCCGGAAGTGGTTCCTATCCGTTATGGATGTTGTACCTGGACGATAGAAATTAGACCACCACAAGACGTCCTCGCCTGTCTCACCTCAAAAACAAGCAAAAGGAAACCTGTAACCTGTCCTAGTTTTTGACCCTGCACTCAGCACTGTAAATAAAGTCTCACATTTCGACTTTTAATGCAGTTCTGTTGCCCTATTCTTCATTAAAGCCCACTTGTAAACGTGTGAGTGAACAAAAATATTGACAAGATTTTTACAGAACAAAGATTTTTCGAAAATAACCGTATAATAAATGTAAAACGGGCTTTAAAATTACAATTCGATTTTGTTTTTTGTGTCCTGTGAGAAAATATAAAGAAATGATTTCATAGCAACATACTTTCCAAAATAATTGATTTACCTACTTATACCGTATCTTTAAAACCTCTGATTAGATAATTTTGCCAATTACGGCAGGTAAATTTATTTGTGAGCAGAACAAATTTCCGCCCAATCATCATCATGCATGGTTTAAGTGTGAACGATCCCAGCTCCTTTTCTAGGCCAGGTGAATATACCTACTTTAAAAAAACTGAATGGCTAACGCATATTTTCAGATTCTGTAGTTGTAACAGACTTATCGCTCAATTTGTCTGTAAGCTTCGAACAGAAGATCTTTAAAGGTTATGTTGATTTGGTGGTGCAGAAAGTCGATTCGGCAGCTACTGAACTTGTAAGGTGACCGACTTTGTTTCGGAGTTACTCACCGCTTTTCGTAGATTTTAGATACACAAGATCTAGACATTTTTGAAATTTACGACACGGACTCGAATGCGAAATTAAATTACATTATTAATTCACCCGTGGCGGAGTTTGGATCTAAACTTTCAATCACTTTACCTAATAAATCGGCTCAAAGGTTCTCTATACCGGACTTTAAGAACTGTTTAATTCAATTGCAATTTTAGTTTAAACATACGAATCCAATATGCGACTACTGCCAAAGCAAGCGGTTTGCAATGGCTCGAGCCAGAGCAGACAGCCGGAAAGGTGCACCCATTCGTCTTTAGCCAATTTCAACCTATTCATGCACGTTCCGTGCTACCATGTCAAGATACACCGGCCGTGAAAGCCACTTACAGAGCTTCGGTGAGTTGCCCGTTTGGTAAATGTAGGGTGGGTCATTTTTGACACTTATGATTATCTCTGTTAGTGCTATCAAAAAATCAGATCTACCTCCTTTTTTTTAATGAAACCTCCTGTAGATTTTAATCTAAAAAAATCTCTTTTGAGGTTCATCCATGGTGTGCTATATACAGTGTGTAAAGCGATGGGGTATACACGAGGGAATTTTTTTTAAAATATTGATTTATTAAAAAAATTTATTCTTCATGATATTTTTTGCTTGCTTTGAAAGTACCAATAACGTTTCGATTGTTTGTGGTTTGATAGCAATACGCTATCTTGATTATAATGTAATGTATAATGTAATTAATTTTATTATTTTTCCAGATTTCTATAAATAAATTTTAGATTATCGAAACGTTATTGGTACTTTCAAAGCAAGAAAAAAATATCATGAGGAATAAATTTTTTTCATAAATTAATATTTAAAAAAAATTCCCTCTTGTATACCCCATCGCTTTACACACTGTATTTCTGCAAAAGGAATTTAAAAGCTTTTATTTTTAGATTAAAATATACAGGGTGTTTCATTAAAAAAATGTTAAGTCTGATAACTGTTTTACCTGACTGTATACTTATTCTAAAAAAAGGCAGATTATTCAACAGATAAAGAAACTATTGTATAAAACATTTTTATCTCATTTAACTAAAATATAGGACCAATTTTGATATTACCATTTTTAGTCTCACCCAAAAAGAGCACATGGCACCTATATCATTTTTTGGATACCACTAATTAAAATCAAAAATTGGACAACCTGTATAACTCTGAGAAAGTCGAGTGTGATAAACTGATAGGCAACTTCAAGATCAATTGATTTTGTTTGCAGATAACAGCCCCATCACACTTAACAGTACTGATGTCGGCAGTTAGGCAGGATAAAGTTGTAAACGGCGACATTGCGACGAGCACCTTCGTACAGAAGGTGCCAATATGCGCCTACTTAATTGCGATAGCGATCGGCGCAATCGAGGGGAAAAAGATAGGGCCGCGTTCCACCGTTTGGGCCGAAGAGAAACTGATCGATCAGGCCGTGTACGAGTTTGGCGAGACCGAGATGCAGCTACGCACCGCCGAGGATATTTGCGGACCGTATGTTTGGGGAATTTACGACCTACTGGTGTTACCGCCGAGTTTTCCATTCGGAGGCATGGAGAACCCTTGCCTTACATTCGTAACGCCCACCCTCTTGGTGAGTTTTGACATTTCTGAGGAGCCAGGTTTGATCTTTGATTTAGGCGGGCGATCGATCGCTGGCAAATGTTGTTGCTCACGAAATTGCGCACAGTTGGACTGGAAATTTGGTCACGAACGTGAATTGGGAGCACTTCTGGTTGAATGAGGGCTTTACAGTTTTTATTGAAAGAAAAATTGTGGGTCGTTTAACCAATGCTGAAGAGCAAGACTTTGATGCCCACTGTGGTACGGTTTCGTTGAAGGAGACTGTAAGTTTTTACATTATACAGGGTGTCCAAAAAATTTTAAATTACAAAGTGTACAGTAAAGAATCTCGTTCACGTTTGTTTCCACTTTTGTCTTTAATGGTATTAGTGAATATCAACTGTTAAATTTGGCATCTAATTCCCTACAACTCTTCCCATTACATATAGGGTGGCACTTCCTGTTATGACGGAAGTCGATGCAAACATGCATATTGTAAATGGAACACCCTACACATTAGTTCATTTTTTGTTTAGTCTAAGCATTAAAATTAAGTATAGTTGGTGTCATATTCTTAAAATATTCAGAACCCGCATTCGTTATGGGACACCCTGTGTATCTAATATTAGTACCCTACCAATACTACTATTTGTTAAAATACCAAAAGAATAATGTGCCCTGTATTTCAACAATGAATGTTTACAGGTGTCTGTATTGGGCACCGATAATCCGCTAACATGCCTGGTGGTCAATTTGGAAAAAACTCACCCCGATGACGCATTCTCACGAGTGCCATACGAAAAAGGTCACACTTTTCTTCGTTACCTTGAGAATGTAGTGGGCGGCCCAAGTAAGTAAAACAAACTTTGCCAATTTATCCACAATTTATCGTACTTTTCAGGCGAATTTGAACCTTTTCTACGAAAGTACTTTGATCATTTCAAATTTAAAACTTTGAACTCCAACGATTTTAAGGCGTATTTCGAAAACTTCTTCGCCAAAAACGACAGCATCAAAAAGATCGACTGGAATGCGTGGTTTTATTCGCCAGGAATGCCTCCAGTCGTACCGGCATACAATACAAAAGTATTGGAGCTGTGCAACGAGTATAAAACGAAATTGTTAAGTAATTCGTTGTACAAGAAGGAAGATTTTAAACACTTGGACATGAAAGTATTAATTCACGTACTTCAAGAAATATTTGAAGGGGATCCACAGCCTGTCGAAAAACTGAAGGCCATAGACGACTTGCTTGGACTCAGTGCAATGCAGAATTCCGAAGTAAAATTTATGTGGTTGCGTATTGCATTGAAAGCGCGCTGGGAGGAGAAAATCCAAGAAACCCTCGATTGGATCAACGTCGTTGGCAGAATGAAGTATGTAAGGCCGTTGCATCGGGATTTGTACAATTGGGAAAAAGCGAGGCAACAAGCGATTACGAATTATTATTCAAACTGTCACACTATGATGCATGTCGTTTCGTATACTGCACGCAAAGACTTGCATCTTGTATAAATGTACATAATGCCAACTGTTAAATAAATGCCTTATCTAAGAATGTAATCTTTCGGTAAATCTATAATTTTAGGGAATTCTTTGACTTCCTTCTCAGTGTACTCGTCAAGTCGTTTCGGCATTGGACGTATTTGTCTGATTTGGTTTGAAACATTTTTCATTAAAGCACCTGGGACTTTAGAGTCGGGGAAAATGTGTAGCCTCTCCATTGTATAACGTCTTTGTAAATTCCCATCCATGCTGTTATAAACTGCCTTTTTTAACACCTAAAGAGAAAAGTTGAAAACTTGACTAATTTTAGAAGCAATACCAAAGTGGGGTCTTTTTTATGTAAATCCCAAGCTAAAGTCCAACTGGCACCTCCAGGGTAACCCGTATGATGAAAATACACTCTCTTAACCCACTCATCACCTGGCAATGCTATATCTGCACTGTTAATCACAATTACGTGGTCACCGCACTCGTCTAAAAGCATAAGCAATGTGTATCTAGCTACATGGGTTTGAAACATACTCATCGGATGGTAAATGGGTTTGTAAAGCCCCATTAAATATTTCTTAAGAACCTGCGCCGATTCGAAGGGGTTTTGCCAGGAAGCATCGAATATATGCCAAACCCTTGCAAATGTAGCCCATTGCTGTGAATGGAATCCATTATTTAAGAAAAGGTAGAGAAATACAACCTGGACCCTTTTTAATGCTGCCATTACACTAAAATATACCAAAATATTACACAATTTGAAAAATGAGGTTAGGGAGCGTTAGAGGTTGGTTGTGGCTCATATGACGCTACGGGACCTTAGCAACCTCACTGAACGATATACAGTGCGATTTACACTAAACGTACCGAAACGTTTAAAACCAAGATTAGGATAACCGATATTTATTAATTAAATAAATCAACAATGTTTTTATATGCCCCAGCCTTTTCTTCTAAGAAAATAGAAGAATAAGAAAATTCCAATTACGTGACACTGGGGCTCTGAACATACATTTAGGCTTAAGATCTAATTTGTTAAGTATAGAAATTCGCGTTATTTTTCTGTGTCACGATTTAGGCCCCAGTACTGTTAAACAACTGTTAAAAAAGGTAGTGTTAAACATTTTAAAAACTCTCAGATGGAATATCCCTTGATGTCTCAAAAACATTTGACATATTCTACTTTTACGTATTGTTTGATGCGCAGTTGTTTCTTTATTTCTTCCTAAACTGAATGCTGAATTCTGAGCATTGCTTAAAATATAAAAGAATCGCCTTAATCGTGTGTTTGGTAATAGAACGTTTTATTTGGATTAGAATATTTTCATTTTTCCCGCGGAAATGCGTACAGCAGACATTTTTTTAATCTGTAAAAAATGTCGTTTCTAAAACATTATCCCAGACAAATATTGCTCATGTTAGTTTTTAAGTTGTAATTTTTGGGATTTGGACTCAAGGAATGTACATCTGTGTTGGCCTATAATTCGATATCAATGGGTCTTGGTCTTTTAACGATCGGCGGCCTCAAATTGTTGCTGTAAATTTAAATTTTCCTTATTTAGTTACAATTGCCAGTCAGCATTAGATCATCGCTGTTCCAATGCAAACTTAGAAATTTCGGAATTAACCCACAGCCCTGAAACCCGCTCGGGATTGGTTGTAGAGAAGCCACTAACCAATAAAAATTTGGTATCGACATCTTATACATATTCCGCGATTTTTTGGGCGTTCGAAATTACTGAGAAACTATAAGAGAAGTGACTATTTTTTGCATGAGATTAATTGTTGATTATAGAGTTGCGAACGTAAAGAATAAAGACTTCATTGGACCACTGAAATAAATTTTTGAAACAATCAAATTCCTCATTTCGCGCTCAAGCTTAGTCTCATTGTAGGAGACGTTTTGAAATCAAATTTTTTACGTATGTGCTTATTGGAAATTTTTCTCAAATAAACAGTAACAAAGGTCATTAAACTGTATGTACGTAAAGCATCATGTTCGAAGTAATTTCCATTTACCGGCAAGAAACCGACATCGAAAGCAGGCCCTTAGTATGCAAGGAAAAATTCACATTCAAAAAAATAAAAGAAAAGAAAAAAAATCTGAGACTTAAAATTTGAATTAACCGATCGTAAAGGATTCAATCAATCGTTAAATTTTTGAAATTTTAATGTATTTTACAATTAAAAGAATCTGTTGAATTTGGTATCATTTTTAATTTTATTATTATTATGGTAGGTGTATCTTGTGAGAACTCAGGTCTAGCCTGGTTAACTAATCGCACGGATTAAAATCAAGTAACGATTAGTATCTGTGTCTGTGTCTGGTGCAAAAAAAAAAACCACGTGCATTGGCAATCTAGGGATAGTATGTAATTCATACTTACCAACATAGGTATAATTATTATTATTATTATTATCCCTCTCTTGTTTTGGGCCCTCAACAGGCATGCGCCCAATTACAGAGTCAATTTAAATTTGATTCCGTAATTTTAATATTGAATTTACCCAAATACAGTGGTTTTATTTATTACCTACCTAATATGTTTAGAAGGCTCAGGAATTCTTAAAAAATGCCTTCTCTTTTACAATTTATAGTCCTGCAATGTATTAAAAATAATCATAAAAGTTTCTCTAAGATTCTACATATTTAAAGAATTTATTAAGAATCTCCATAAGTGGTTTCCATAAAAACAATTCTTAAAAGATTGTGTAGGGGCCCCTTCAACAATCTCATTAAGGAGCTTTCTAAGAATCTATTTCTTAATTTCTTTACAAATCTCTATAAAGTCTAAACGTTTCATTAAGAGTTTTTTAGGAATTTTTGTAAAAGTTCTCTTAGACTATAAGTCCAAAAATCTACTTAGAAATCGCCTCAGCTTAGAAATCATGGAATACAGAAAAAACTCAAAATGTTCTTGCAGCGTCGCATAACGGAAGAGATGCGGCCAATCCCACCAAAAGTTTTCCAAAATGCTGTTCCTTTTCTTTATTTTAATAGTACCATATAAAAAAAGAAAGTCTGAATGAGAGAATTTCCCAAACAACAATTAATAAAAATGTTTGTTGAGAAGATTGATAACATCTGTTATGTCAGTAAAAAACTGATAGAATATAAATTATCAAACCTTTTTAAACTTTAACCAGTATCTCCGACCTCCGAAAAGGTTAAATAAAAATGTTCCAAAATCGATTACTCGCGTCCGTGAAAACTATACAGAAATTTTATTCGCGTAAGTGACTGTTCAAATTTGCAAAAATCCACAAAACTGTTTTAGAACGTAACAAGAGCGATGTGGGCTTTATTGGCGTTGGAAATATGGGGCAGCGCATGGCGACAAATCTTATCAAGAAAGGGAGACGTGTAAAAGTTTATGATGTATCAAAAGCTGCGATGGAAAGTGTTACCGGTGCTCTACCATGTGAAAGTCCACAAGAGGCAGCTGCCGATGTAGATTTTGTGATAACTATGCTACCGGATGGCGATGTAGTAAAGCAAGTGTTAACGGCGGAAAATGGAGTTTTGAAAGGAATTAGCAAAAGGGCTTTACTAGTCGATAGTTCGACCATCAACCCCTTAACAGCAAGAGAATTGCACAAGACTGCCGAAGACGCTGGCATTAAATTTTTAGACGCGCCTGTTGCGGGTGGCACTGCTGGCGCGTCTGCAGGTACGTTGACCTTTATGGTTGGAGGTAATCAAGACGCCGTAAAAGCAGCCCAGGCGATTTTACTACAGATGGGCGGAAACGTTATGCACTGTGGCGGACCGGGCGCCGGCCAAATTTCGAAACTTTGCAATAACATGATAGTGGCGGTGAGTATGATCGGAGTCGCCGAGGCGATGAATTTGGGCGCGAAGATGGGCTTAGATGTGAACACGTTGGTGCAAGTGGTGAATACGTCTACGGGTAGATGTTGGATTTCCGAAAAGTACAATCCGGTACCTGGGGTCATGAAAAACGTTCCTTCCGCTAACGACTATAACGGCGGTTTCCGGTCCCAGTTAATGGCAAAAGACTTGGCACTTGCGTCCAGTATTGCAATCAGTTGTGGAGCGCCGATTCTGCTAGGATCTGCTGCGCATGAAATTTACAGAACTATGGCGGCTTATGGATATGGAAACAAAGACTACAGCTCCATTTATAAATTTTTACAGGGCCAACATTAAACGATTACCTGAGTACAATGTATATAGAAGTTTTTTTATTTTTAGCGCATTTCCACAAAAATAAAAAAAATGCGCTATTGTGGCCACTTTGTCCGTCCGTCCGGCTGTCCGTCCGTCCGTCCGCTCGTTTTGCGACGCTACTAGTTCTTTATCTTAATAGCTATTGTTCTACTTTTTTCGCTATTTGGTTCGTTATAGTGTCGAGTCTTGTACCAAGGAAGGAATTTTTTCTGTACCGCTTACAAAAAAAGTTATTGTAAAAAAAACAAAAAACCGTTTTTTACATGTTCCATAATTTTACACTTTTGCCGTTTATTAACGATCCTAGAGATCGTTTATAATTTTGCATTGCTATCTGTCGTCTGCCTGTTGGTCTGTCCGTCTGTTCCTTTGTCTGTCTGTCCATCTATCTGTCCGTGTGAACGATAACTTTGTTTAGAAATGTTCGATCGCTTTTACATCTCCGTTAGTTATGAACTGAATTGCATGAAATTCAATATGGGCATAGCTTTAGCCATATAATACGCAATGCCAAAAGTTGAATCGAATCGATTCAAAATTCACAGTGCCCTTTTCGCATCTCGACCATTTATAAACCGAATTGCAAACTTTTTTACTTATAAAAGTATTTGAATGAAATTTGATACATAGGCACTTGGAATAAAGGAAAATCAAACGCCAGTTTCAAAATTTGGCTTTGCGCATGCGCAGTGCCAACTTTTTTATTTATGGAAGAATTTAAATGAAATTTGATACATAGGCGCTTGGAACAAAGGAAAATCTAACATAAGTTTTAAAATTTAGGTTTGCGCATGCGCAGTTCCAACTTTCTTATTTAGAAAAGCATTGAAATGAAATTCTTCTCATAAACTGAAATTGAAGTAGCACGTCAACAATGGATTGCCCATGTGCAACGCTATCTTTCATATTTGTGGCCGGATTTTTACGATTTTAACAGAAGTTGCATCTTACAAATGGGAAATGAATGCAAGTGGAAATGCGCTTTATGTAAATCGTTTACGATTACTTTTTAACTTGTTATTTATGGAAGAATATAAACGAAATTTGATACATAGGCACATGGAATAAAAGAAAATCAAACGCCAGTTTCAAAATTTGGTTTTGCGCATGCGCAGTGCCAACATTTTTATTTATGAAAGAATTTAAATGAAATGTGATACATAGGCACTTTGAATAAAGGAAAATCTACTTTGAAAGAAATTGTAGGAACTAGTTTGTTGTTTTTAAAGGAAGTTAATTACACTTTGAATTTACAAATATGGACAAAGAAAACCTACTATTATTATAATTTAATCTAGTTACACTTGCAATTTGTAATTAAGTATATGTCTTAATCTAAGACTCGTCTCGTGTCGTGCGTAAAGATACCGCCGGCTGTTTGTGACAGGTGACAGTAAAACGTGCATAAATTCAAAATTCAAATTTTGCATGCGCACGCCTCAGTGGTTTCAAGAAAAACTTCTGTCAATGGGGTAGTAGTGGTTTGTGGAGGCGGTGGGGGGTGGGGGGGGGGAGGTTACCCTTCATGGTATTCGTATGGAAGGTCCAATGGAAAGGAATTGGTTTCTAAAAATAAGATTTCGTTCGCGACTGCTTTCGTTTAATCTTTAATGACACTCGATCTAATTAAAATTATCGACGAAGGAACTCTTTTTTCTACAAACCGCCTTTCTTCCTCGCGATACTTATCCAAATGGAGAGTTGCCGGAAGGAGGGGCTGGTCTTTCATGGGACATGGCAGAAATATATCTATGGCTGAGGTCAAAACAATAATTAAGTGACCATAGCTGTTACTTTCGTGAAGTAATTAGTTCTCGAAGAGACATGCAATTTTCACGGCTGCGTTTTAGAAAAAAAATAGTTCGTTAGTGCCCGTTTCAGCACAATCAAATTGTTGAACCAAAACGACGGGGACCGAAATGAGCGCCGGGACCGAATCGGCCTGACCCGAAACAGTTTCCTGTCCATTTGGTTCATTGAGTTTAAAAAAAATTGTCATTTTTTAGCAACACCATTGAATAATTTTTATTCAATCGCAACACTCATCTTATATGAATTAACCGCACATCTTTATAATCATAATATACACGGTGTCCATTTTTCGAGTGCCACTATGGAGATCTCGCTTATCTTAAGAGATAGAAACTTGGTTAAATTAGGGAAAAGTTACGAATTTTCGTGCCGAATAATAATCTAAAAATAAATTTATAATATCTTCAATAGTTTTGAAAATATGCCAAAAAATCGAAAATTTCTGATTTTCATTTTTAACTTTTTCATGGTAAACTAATTGTACTAGACATCCCGTTTTTAATAACTTTCAAGATTTCGGAGAAACACGTGGCAACTTCAGTTTTTTTGATGGGCGCCGTTTTGGATTTTGACATTTTGAGATTAGGTCTTTTTTTCTTTTTACAACGATATATCACACATGGTGGTTCAGTATCACATTTTTTCTAAAAATACAATTTTCATTTTCTGCGAAGAGTGCTATGCAAAAACAAAACATTCTTTTGTTGTGAACAAAATGTTGACTTATTTCAAGCAGTGTCATTTACGTTTGTGCTAGTTTTATTGCTAAAATATTATTTATTCTTATGTATTTTGTTCTAATTTGAATTATAATTTTCTTGCAAAACGAAGGTTCAATTCTGTTCATATGAAAATCGAATTTTCTCAACACATCTAGTTCCCTGATGCCAACTCTGCAACCGGACATATGCATCAAACTGTCAAACTTTTGTTCACAATAAAAGAACGTTTTGTTTTTCCAAAGCACTCTTCCCAAAAAATTAAAAATTGTATTTTAGGAAAAATGTGATACTGAACCACCATGTGTGATATATCGTCGTAAAGAGAAAAAAAATCTCAAAACTAAAAATGGCGCCCATAAAAAAACTAGAGTTGCCACGTGTTTTTCTGTCATCTTAAAAGTTATTTAAAACGAGATGTCACATTCGAAATCTCCATTGAAAAGAGTTCCAATAATGTGTTAATTAGACATGTCTGGTACGACTAGTTTATCATGAAAAAATTAAAAACGAAAATCAGGAAGTTCCGTTTTTTTGCGATATTTTCAGAACTATTGATGATATTTTAAATTTTTTTTTCAGATGGTTATTCAGCAGGGAAATTCGCAACTTTGTCCCCATTTAACCAACTTTCTATCTCTTAAGGTAAGCGAGATCCCCATAGGCCATAGTGGCACTCGAAAAATGGACACCTTGTAAATGTATTATACTGTGGTATAATTATTCGTCATAGATCATAGATAAAACCACCTTTTATTTATGATTACCTGTTGAATGTATTAATCACAACCCAATATAATTTTATGATGAAGAAAAGGAAATAAACTAAACCAATATAGACAACGAGCGACAAGGTCTCTTCCGGTTAACCAGTATTAACCAAAAATTAATCACTTATTCGTTTGACTACTGTCCAGTGGCGTATTTACGAAATAGCTACAGGGAGGGCGTAAAGAAAGAAAACCAATGTTTTACAAAAAATTTGGAGTGTATGTGCATATGCATTGTGCATGTATAAATATAGTGGGTATAATAAACACAGAAGGTCCATTTTCAAAATAACCATAGTCAATGTCATTACATTAGAATGCCGACATCGCGCGCGATGGGCACACGCCCCCTATGCCCCTGTAAATACGCCACTGCTACTGTCTACCTATTACTGAAAACAGAATTGGAAAATTCGAAATCGATCGGAAGTTATCATGTAGGTACACAGACGGACAGAAATCATGAATTCGCTTAAGAGCTCTTTTAATTAATAATGAAGAACTCCCTATATATTTTATTGCCATAATGACCTTTAATAGAACGTAAACGTGTTATACCGTATAAGTATATTAAAATGAGTGGAAACGAAGAATTAAATGGAGTTGATATTTTAATCTATAAAAATAAATGTTAAATGATAACTGTAGCATGCACCTGGCGTGGTATTACAGTAAGCCAGTGTAATATAGATATTACCCTGTTGAAATTAAACACATTTCATATAGCTAACTGTACTGGGTTCAGCGACATCTACTAAAGGGAAGATTCAATTACAATTGGTAGCACCGAATGTTGCATCATGGGCGCACACCACTTTACAAATCATTGAATTTATAACTATAGTTATAAATTCAATGTACAAATATACGACTCGTGAGACATCTAGCAATCACAAATATGAACTAACCAAAATTCATACGCGTTGTTTTACTATTGTGTTATATTATGGTCATAGTTTGTTAGGATTGTATTAAACAAGATACGAAGAATCACATACGATTTTCAGTGGTGGAATTTTTTGCCACTCAAAACGCATTTGAGAACCAGACTTTTAATCCGGCTCATATTCAATACCACTGACCCTTGAACTCGTGGAAAACGATTGGCGAAGATTTGATATCGCTATCTCTTTTCGTTCTCGAGTTAGACGAGGAACAGACGGATAGACGGACGGACAAAACCATCACATAGGGGAATTTCTTTCGAAAAAAACGCCAAGTACAATTCTCACGGAATAAAATTACCAATTTCAAACCATTTATGGAGCATGCAATGGAAACAATTGATAGATGCGGACCTATCATTATTGTTGCTATACCCTACTGATTTAATCAGTTTTTGAAAAAACGTCGTTTGTAATTACTTTTGTTTTATTGCGCCTGCGTTTACAGAACTGCATCTTGTTCTTAAGTATGCAAATTGAGTGGCCGCCAAGCCATTGGTAATTAGATCTAGGACAACACTTCTTTTGTTATTGAAATGTACAGTATATCATGGAGATATGTTAGTTATTTGAGTCTCTAATAACACAAAAATACTAAGAATGTTTTTTGGATCAAAGGTTAATACAGCGCAGACGTAAATTAAACATTATATTTCAAGATAAATAGCCTGTTGATATTTCATAGAGCTGCAAAAAAATTTTATTATAAAAAATAGGGATGGAATGGATCACATTGTGTTTTGTATTATTCTTATGATGCCCCCCGTCAAGATCATTTAGGCAGACTGTCCAATTGTCCTTGTAAAAATTGGTAAACTATGCCAAAGTCTTTATTGCCTTTGCCATAAGCGGCCAGCGTTCTGTACATTTGATGGGCAGCAGATCCCAAGGGAATTGGGGCTCCACAACTGACGGCGACATTAGAAGCGAGCGCCATATCTTTAGCGATTAGCTGAACTTGAAAACCTCCATTGTAATTGTCGGCAGACGGTACGTTTTCCATTATTCCCGGAACTGGATTGTAGGTGTCAGACGACCAGCATCTCCCTGTCGAGGTGTTGACAACTTGGGATAGGGTCTTGACGTCCAAGCCCATTTTGGCGCCCAAATTCATTCCTTCGGCGACGCCGATCATGCAAATTCCCAGTATTAAATTGTTGCATAGTTTTGCTATTTGACCGGCGCCGGGACCGCCGCAGTGCATAATTCTACCGCCCATTTGTAGGAGGTATGGTTCAACTTTTTTGGCTATCTCTTGGCTACCGCCGAGCATGAAAGTTAGCGTGGCCGCGGAGGCGCCGGTGACTCCCCCTGAAACGGGCGCATCTAGAAACTGGATGCCTTCACCCGCTGTGATTTTGTGCAATTCTTGTGCTGTTATTGGGTTTATGGTCGAACTGTCGACATAGAGAGCGCTCTTTTTGATTCCTTTTAAAACCCCGTCTTCGGCTGTTAGAACTTTCTTTACTATATCGCCGTCTGGTAACATGGTAATTACGAAATCCACATCAGTTGCAGCCTCTTGCGGGGTAGCACATACTTTAGCACCGGCAACAGTCTGTGCAGCGGTCTTTGAGGCATCGTACACTTTCACAGTACGTCCTTTTTTGATGAGGTTCGTAGCCATGCGCTGTCCCATGTTGCCAATACCAATAAAACCCACATCGCTCTTGTTACGTTCTACAATTATTCATTAGCAACGTTTCACTACTAATTTAGGCGTGCCTACTTACGTTGAAAGTGCTTGTGAGTAGATCTAAATAAAACAATTAAACGTTTCTGCAACATTTTCAAGACAGTCGCTTCGGCGGGATCAAGAGCTCTTAAGTAACTGGTCGAATTTTTCGTTCATCACGATTATTATAACGTAAGATAGATACGAGCAAGGTTTCATTTGCTGCCAACAGGTTATTTTTAGAACTCGTATTGGCGTCACAGTTGAAAGTCTAAGCTTTAGAGATTGCCTAACTAGCAGGAGGATTAAGTAATGACTGGAAATTCTGTATTTTACAATCATTTTGTTCGAAATTCGCTGTTTAAAATTTGGACAGATTTTGGACCAACAAATAAAACACCCATAAATAAATAAAATTCGAGTCATAGAATAGTATTTATTCTCTATAGTAGGTAGTTAAAAGTAGCAAGAACATGAGACATTTACTGGAATTACTGACCAGTCTGTGGTTCTCTTGTGTACGTAGGTACACTTTATTTGTTACTCAGCTACAAATAATACTCGCCATAAAAATAATTTGTAAAACTTGCCATGTCTGCATTGTAGAAAACGTATTTTTACCACCAGCACGTTAGTAAGGGTGGTTATTGCATTGGGGTAAAAACTGACCCCTAACGTTTTTAACGGAAATACAGGTTTCGAGGCACCAGGAATCCGAATGAAACCAAGTCTCGATGATGTCGATCGGTCTGCCTGTCTGCACTGTAAACGGCTTGACCGGTTGAAACCAAATTTGTAACACACATTCTTAGACATAAAAGGGCAGAATCGCCGCAGCAAATTTTTTTATTCGGTAATTTGTGAAATGTAAATGGATGAAATTTACATTTTGGTTAAATTGACAAACGTCAATCAATTAAGATCCTAGAACTAACAAAAAACCAAACTTATTCTTATTTGTAGACGTATAGACGATAATGAACTCTTCATTTTCCCCCGAAATCGTTATGAAACCTTCATGTTCATGCCTACTCTTCGCTGTGATCTTGGTCGAAAGTTTTAGAGCAAACTGTACCCAAAATTATTCTTTAAACATGAATTTGGGTTGAAATAGCTTTCAAAAGAATTAGAATTAGTAAATCCATTTAGCTCGAAGGGCGATGATACAAATAATTGCAAAATACAGAGGATAACCAAAGCTTATATCAACGTAGCGAGGACACCAAAAATCCCGCAAATATAAAATGCAACTCCGTATCTAATCGTAAAGATACGAACGAAAGGATGAATATTCCAAAACAGAAAATTAAACCTCAAGCTGATAAACATGACGACAAGGTATAGCTTCTGCAGTTAATGATCTAAATAAGAAACAAGATACGAAGAATTCGCATACGATTTTCAGTAGGAGAATTTTTTGACACTCGGCTCGAAACAAGACTTTTAATCCGGCTCATATTCAATAGCACTGGCCCTTGAACTCGTAGAAATTGATTGGCAAAGGTATGATATCGCTGTTTCTGTTCGTTTTCGAGTCCTCGAGTTAGACGACGAACAGGCGAACAAACGGAAAAACCATCACATAAGGGGAATGTTTCTTCTTTCGAGAAATTCCCCTGAAAACCATTTTCTTTGTTTTTAGGGCATTTTTTAAGAATTAAAAAATGCAGTATTGTTTGCGTTTTGTCGTCAGTCCGTCCGTCCTTCCGTCCGCATCCACTTCTGCGACTTTGAACTACTTTTAGGAGAAATGTCCTAGAGGCGTGAAATAGGCAGCTTGTACCTTGAAGGTGTGCCAGACGGTTATCTTTCGTCATTCATTATTTCCCGAGATGCTGTTTTTGAAAGTAAAACGACAACAAATTGGTCTCAGGTTTTGCAGACGCACGCGTTTAGTGGTGCCATTCGGTTACATGTGTTCAATAAATATATTATTATTATTATTATATGTAAACTTGGAATTATCTGCGCGTGCGCGATTCCTTTTCGAGATCAGTGGGGTGGAGTGGGGGGGGGGGGGGAGTGAAAACCATCGGAAGGATAGGATATTATTAGATTATTATAAAAAAATGAATGTTTTTGGAGAAGATAAAGGACGACAGAAAAATATGCAGGATATTCCATTTAAAAAAGGTGTAACTTAATCTTACAACAAAAAAAAACTATAAATTTTGCTTTTAATTGTCTCATAGTATATGTAATATTTATTTGGTGGAATCATTCTGTAGTTTGGCTGTGAACAAATTGCAAAAGAATTGATTTAAGCGGTTTCTGAATTTAAAAAACCCGGAAATAAATGGTTTTTGGTTCATAAGTAAGTCAGAATTGCTTTTAGGAAAAAATTGTTCTATGCAAAATTAAAGAGCACAAGAATTTTTTATGTTTGAAGTCAAAAACCACCGTTTTCAGCACATTTTTTTTTAATTCAGAAACCGCTCATCGATCATATACATACAGGGTGTCCAGTGCCTATTCCTTGGTCAATTTTAAGTCGAAATTTGCTTACACACTTTGTCCAAAACTCAATAGTTACGAAGTTACAGGCAATATTAAATTTAACAATAAATCAATTTATTAATTAAATCGATTAAATTGAATGAACAATATCACCATATCACTATGACAAAACAATCACATGGCCTATTAGATTGATTTATTGTTAAATTTAATATTGCCCATAACTTCTTAACTATTGAGTTTTGGACAAAGTGAATAATCAAATTTCGACTTAAAATTGACCAATGAATATATAGTGTTAAGCTATGTCCATCGAGTCACGGAACTTTTGTAGGCGAATCCTTTATCAAATTTGTAGATCGGAGTTCGTGAATAAGTCAAAAAATAAGGAAGGTCTTCGTTAGTTATGAACCAAATTACATGAAATTTGGTATGTAGACACCTCGAATGAAAGTAAAACTAATACTGAATCAAAAAATTTGTTTTGCGCATGCGCAATCCGATTTTTTAATTGTTAAGATATTTAAATGAAATTTTGTGCGTAGACACATGGGTAAAACTAAAACTAATATTATCAATTTAAAAATTCGTTTCGCAAACTCTACTGTAAGAGATAGGTAGGTACTAGGTAGTTTAAATTTGGCAAAATTTTGCGAATCCTTTTTAATTTTTACTGAAGTTATTTAAAAATACATTTCGAAATAAATTGCACAATATTATGGGCATTTTTCCCCTATGCAATATGCTACTTTTACATTTTAAGTTTGACGTTTCGTCTCCAGTCAACCATTATCAGCTTTGTTTTTTCTTATGGAAGTCATTTTTACTTTTTGTGTCATTTGATAGAGAATTTTTTTCTGATTTCAAAAATGTAACCACACCCCGTACTTCCACTAACCAAGGCAAAGTTTTCTAGGCAAAAAAGAAGATATTTTAACAATATTAAACAAATTGTGGGGTTTACATTTTTGAAATCAGAAAAAAATTCCTTATCAAATGACACAAAACGTAAAAATGACTTCAATAAGAAAAAACAAAGTGGATGATGGTACCGGAGACGAAACGTCAGACTTTAAATTTAAAACTAGCATCTTGTAGAGGGAAAAAAGTGGCCATAATAATTTGTGAAAATATGTGAAATATCTTTTTAAAACTTCGATAAAAAATAAAAACGATTTTGGAGTGGAACTAGTTTTATCCTTCATGGTACTCTAACGAAAGGAATTAATTTCTACCAACCATAGCCCTCCTCCTCGACCTCTTATCGTGATCGGGTACTCACAAAGGGCGATTGGGACGTCTGCAAGAAATATATCCATTGGTGTTGTCAAAACAAAAGCTATTTCGGTTTAAAAAAATGCCCTTTATCTGCACAAGAGTTGTGCACAATTTATACTTGTTTTGTCTTGTTTCTTAATACGATGGTGCTTTGTTTGCTTATAAATAAAGATATGTGTGTATATGGGATGTGCGATAGATTAGAGTTACTCAGAAAATTGTGTATATACAGAGTGTCCCAGAAACGTATTTACAACAGTCAACCACGTGTTAAACCGAAATTAGTCGATTTAGGTAAACCTTCGTACAAAGTTGCTGAGTTTGGGCGATTTAAGACCCTGCGGGTTTTTTTGTATTAAATTTAAAACAGTCTATATACGACTTTACCAAAATTTGCGCGACAAAAAACATCCAAAAGTATGATTAATATCAAACCATGAGCGTAGATCGTGATTTTTTCAGCAACTGCATGTCTCCAATTTCTACGGCACTACAAAAAAAAAGGTTTGGGTTTAAATTTAGATGAATCAACTTATTTATTTAAAAAAGGTGCTCTTGGTAAGACTCGATTACGCTCAAGGTTTTTGAGAAATTTGCATCAAGATGTACCCTCATGGTTTGATATTAATCATAACTTTTTTGCCCCATAACGCTATTCCAATACACCAAACGTTAGCACAGCAGTATACTGTTTTAAATTTAATAAAAAAATAAGATTTTAAAGTTGTCACTTCAGGGCCCTATTTCGTCCAAACTAATCAACTATGAGTTTAATTTAACCCGCTAATTTCAGTCTAACGAACATGTAATGGGTTGTTGTAAAAATCTTTTAGGGACACCCTGTATAATATACACGTTATAATAGATACAAATATTAGTTACATATTTATAGTTTTTCCTTAGATATTATAGTAAATACCAGATTCAACAGCGAAATTTCTAAATTTATAACGTCCGCTCATACATTATACAGGGTGATTAAGTCATGGATAGTTAGATACGCCCCTGGTGTGGTGCTAGGTCTGTTACTTGGGTGCTATAGGAAGCGCTAGATATATGCTTGGCGGTGCTAAAATTTCAAGGTCCTACATACATACACCGGGAGGGGCAAGCGTAACAACAGCCCCTCTCTGGTTTACTTAGGTCATAGGTACAGGGTGAGTCAACGATTGCGCGGAGTAACTTAATGCCTTGAAGATAAGATTTTTCGATAAGAGTGCTTTTGTATTATCATATGGTTGAATATTCTCCACATTTTAAAAATATTTGGAATTATACAGGGTGCGCCCACAAAGTAGGGCGCCCAAATGGTATATTTTTTTAATAGAACCCCCTGTATTTGAATGAATTTTTGAATTTGTAATTGTACGTCTTTTTTATTATATGGTTAATGTCCGAAAAGCTAGTAGTTTTAAAGATAATTCGATTTTTAACAAAAATTGGGCATTAGCAAGCGTCAGTACATTGTCAAAATTATTACTTAAATTTTGATTCCAGTTTTATATCTTATCCTGGGTTAAGTAAAAGTCAAATAAATACATCTACTATGAAACATTAAAAATATAGCTTACAGGGTGTTTTTTTTGGTGGGTCCAAAGTTGCAAAACTTCATATTAAAAAATCTCACTTTATTTAAATGCAACACTCTGTATATTTTTCTGTCATCATTTAGCTCCTCCAAAAACCTTCA